GCCCTGGGCTCAACGCCCAGGATGCCTAGGTACCGCGGAAGGAGGTCAGCTGCTTTTGGGAAACTCTTACCTTAAGTCTTTGCCTTCATTGCGGCTCGTCTCTGGTCAGGTCAAGGCCAGAGAACTAGCTTTACGCAGTAGCTCTGCGTCGTTTGTCCCCAACGACAACACAAACGCAGATGAAAAACACAACTGTGAGTCCTAGTAGGGATCCAAGTTCCCTTACACGATGGGATGATGCGAATCCATAACACTAGAGGTACTGCAGGCGCTGTAAGCTGATGAGATGTGGGGAGAGCCCTCAGTCCCTTACATGCTATGCTGAGATCTGTTCAAGATAACTTAGAGTATTTCTCTTTAGTATAAATATTTGCAGTTAGCGTTACGTATTACTAGGTTGTATCTCTTAAGGACTACTCTGGGGCGCATCCACAGAACCGCACAGCTGAGTATAGCGAGCTGGCAGGTAATAACTGTCATACTGAAACAACAACATAACAAACCAACAGAGGTTAAATGAAATTATTTCTCTCAGTTTTCTCTCCAAAATTGTTCCCTTCTGCAACCCTACTAGAGCAGGCACTGCGGCCTTTCGGGCTGGGAGAGGAGACGGCGTAGAATGTTGCAATGCCTTTTGCACCAAGGCTCATGCCAGCCTCTCCTATAGTCTGCCACTTCATGAAGAATGTTTAATGCATTCACCATTGTTACACTCAACGTACATCAATAAGCACTCAGACACATCCACTGTTCATACAATCCTCACTCATTTCACAACGAGCACGGCATTGTTGCCGTGATTGTAGCGAGTATTCACTACAGGTTGGAGGTAAGCCTATGATGTAAGCCAACGTGTTGATCCGAGAACGAATGGCCACACCTAACTTATGGCTAACATTTTTGCCACCCTCCGCTCTCTGCAGATGGTGCGCATTTATTCGATCCATGTTATTCGGGTTAAAAGGAGTTGCTGAACATCTTGCCTGGTGGGGCTGCTCCCTCCTCCTTTCACGCGTATGTAACTTCCAACTATGCTGACTTGCTTATTGCAAAAGAAGCAAATGCGCTTGTTGGTACCTCCCCCAGGCTTGCTGGGTGCCGAACTTGCCGGCTGCTGTCGGTTAGGTCTTCATACCTTTTTTGGCAGGTCTGGCATTCACAGTCCCAATATGTAGATGCTCTACATGTTTGACATCTGCAAATGCGCTTCCTTCCTTTCCAGATAAGGGGGCGGGAACTTCTCTCATCTGTGTGTAAACACTCAATATTCCCGGCAAGGTACACCGTTCCACCCTTCGCCGGCTACCGGCTTTTTTCTGTGGCACACTGGCCTGCAATAAACCATTGTTATGTAAATTCCGAGGCGGCCGGCCGAGTTCTGTTCACCAGTGACTGATACTTCTCCACGCAAGGCTCTATCGGCAGCTTCCCCTGTTTAAGTGTTCACAGTTCGGCCATCGCTTGTTCTTTCGCCAACCTAAGAATACATCGCAGGCATGCCGAGGGGCTCCGCAGGTCCGTATGTGCCAGGAAAAACGTGACACTCTTGCTTAAAAGTAAATGTCATTCTCTTGCGTCGCCTACTAAACAAGATGGCAGTGCAAGTGCAGCTCTTTGGGTGCATTTTCAAGACAAAGGCAAAGCTTAAAAGAACCGAAGAAATTCTCCACTACCACCCCATCGTTGCGTCCATCATCTCTGTAAGTTCGGAAAAGGCGGATGCACTCTTCGTTGAGTTGCCTTCGCTATGAAGAAACTTTCCGCTTGATCTACTCCTCACTTAACGGCCGATCAATATCCATTATGCAGGGGGCGAAAAGGGTTGAAAATATGGCTCTGTTTCTATCTCCAGTGGGCGAGAGGGGGAAAGGGACGGCTAGTCGATCAAGGGCTAGGCGAAATGCTAAGAGGGGGAGTAGATTAATGACTGGGCTCCCCGTCTCATTGGAACAAGCGCAACATCAGTATATTACAATTGGAATATCCCCTCTATTCCTTTCTTTTCGATGTTTCTTCGCTGATACTTAGTGGTAAACGTCAAACCTCCCACGGGAGGTGGTGGGGCTCTGCTCGGGCGTGCCCCAGTGAAAAAGGCGGTGCTGCCAATTGTAACGACGGTCTTGAAACTCAGACGTGGACTGTGTGGAGGTCAGAATACCTAAGTTAAGACTTACCAAGAGTAGCTGATCTCCCCTCTCGCTACCAGAGGTCTTGAGCAACTCGTGCTGCAAAGCAGCTGCACACGTACGTGTACTGGAGACCCTTCTTGATGCACGAAATAACATCCATACAGCTTTTAGACGCTTAAATGGGCAATATTCACCTGAACCCAAGTATGAACACACGTACAAACATCAGAGAAAACATGCTCTAGCACGCAGGGGGAACGAAACGGAAGAACAATTGTGCCTACAGTTTGCAGAGGAGGAGTTCGAGAGGATTTTTGCCTTGTGGAGCGTACTCTGAGCTCGTCTAGTGCAACCTCAAGATAGTTTCCGCGCCCATGTCAATTTGATTGCTTTATCCAAGCTCTGTGTCAGAGCTGATGCCGGGAGCTCAAGGCGGCTGGATAGTAGCGGTGCTGGGAAGTTCCTCTCAGAAAACTTGCTGCGAATTCTGGTGTATGTGGGCCAAATTTTTGCGTCAATGGCATATCACCTCCTCAATGCGTTCTATCTCGATCTCTATCGATATCGCACTATATATCGCATTATATATGCCGGGATTTATCTTTTGCGTTATCTTTTACAGCAATAAAACACCGGAAAAGATAATCAGTTTGGGCGCCTTCCCACTCCAGTTCGTTATTAGATATTAGAGTGGGGAATGAAGCGAGTACGTCCTTATCCATTACAGCCTATTGTCCTTGGCACAACACCGGGGCGCGGACACCTATTCAAGTACAGAGACGGGCTGGCTCGAGCACGGCTTTCATCGCGCCTGCCAACCTCCTGGGAGGTCTCCATCACTGATATACAAACACCCCAGTCCGAATTCATATCATCAGCAGGGCTTATGGCTTACGGTGCAGACTAAAGAAGGATATGGGGCTAGCCTGTTTCTCCATAAGCAGCGGCAAGCACCCCTGAGCACCCGCAGCCAAGACGAGACTGCCCACCAGGAACTTTGCAGCAACTCTTCCCGCAAGGTGCACTGACATATCTGGCGCTTTTCAAACCCTGATGCTCCTTCCGCCTTCTTCTTTGTCTTCCCTACCGCGCGTGCTGTCCTCTCTGGATATCCACTGGAGCCAACTTGGCATATACCACAAGTCGTTCTTCCAGCGGCACTAGCGGAACTCCCCTACCGTGACTGAAAGTGTCATTTGCGTTCTTTTTCGCATTTTGGGGGAGTAAAAGCGAGGAAAGCGACGATTAAGGCTACATAACATGGAAGGCATTCCTTCTTTGCAGACGTTCGGCCGTCCGCTTGGTTATCACTCCTTGCCGTGCCTCACGGCTCGCACCTGAGCTGCAGCTGTGCGCCAAAGGGAAGACAAGAGACGTTCGTCGTATGCTGCTTCCTAGCCACAGCAGACCAAATGCAAGATGAGCTGTGTAAGGCAGCTTCCATCGAGCCTGAGAAGGACTGCTCGGACTTTAGTTGTCGGGTGACAGGCCCGAACAAGCCCTCCTCAAAGGATTTCAGCCCACGGGTAAGTGGCAGCGCTTGACCTTCCCATGGCACGTGCTAAACCTTCTTTTGAAGCTCATCTTGTAGTGAGTTGTGACCGTCGGAGCTGCCGACTCAGTGGTAATTTCTTTAGTTTTGCCTGTGATGGTCAGCTCGACCGGCTGTACTACGAAGACTCTTGCGCAAGTATTGGAAGTGGAGAAGGTGAATACCTCAAATCGCTCTTTTTCATGATATGGTGTAGTGATTCAAGGAGACGTCCAGAAACGTCTCCCTTCCTGTGGCCTTCGATATGCATGTATTTTTGCTCTGGCTACAGGAAGGTGTAATGTGTGCGCAGGGTAGCCTAGTTCAGCAGTATGCGTCATTTCGAGCTCGTTGCTTGGCCACAGAGATCCGTTCCCAATGGATCAGTGTTTCTGCACGCAAGTCAGTAGAAAGTTTCAGCGAAGTGCAACATTGAACTCGCAGGGTTTCTGGACATGACAGCCTCCTGCGTGGACGAATAAAAATACTGCTTGAGATTACTGTAGGTGCCTAGCAGGATACCTCTGGTGGCATGAGAGTGGCCAGCGGTTTCGATGACTTGGGCTGTATATGTCAAGAAGGAATTTGAGAATCGCCTTGCCAACGCAGCTGGACAAAAGCAAAACCTGTACTCACTCGTACAGCCAAGCATAAGCGGAAAAAAGACCCAGCAGAAACAAAGGGCTGGGTATATCTGAGAATTGTGGAACCAGGGTATCTGTTGGGTGCAACGCTTCAGTGGATACTGAAAGCAATATTTTAGTCTCCTTTCCAACGCGTGTTATCGTAGATCACGCATTATGTGCTTTTACACGCGAGGCATGCGACAGGTTCGCCAACTGCCTAGTAAATCAGCGCCAGTCCAGTGCTGTGCCGTGTTTGCGCGGTAGCTAGTGGTATTATACCTCAGAGGATCGACGTCAAATACCGAAGAAGTCGTTCAATAAATTGTTAGTGTGCATGTCAACGGGAGTGTACCGCTGCTGAAGGTGTTCTCTAGATATGTTTTTGCGTGCGTTGAGCAGTAGGGCTCTCAAGTGCCCTCTGTTTGGGTTCTCCCAGCAGTGATGCCGTATACTGAGTACCATTTATACAGAAACTAGAGTTGAAGCGGCAGTAATCACCCATCTGAAACGATTTCTCTAAGCAAAGCAAGTCTCCCATGCATGTTTCCATTCCTAGCTAGAATACAGTGAAAGCCCGCAATCGACGAATGCGTAATTTTCCTTCGGTTCGTCTTGTAGAAGGCATAACCAATAATGCCTGGGTCATGGTAGTTCAGGGCAGAGTCCACTGTGGCTACTCTAAAGCACAACTCTGAAGGACTTCTTGCGCATTTCTTCTTCAATCACTCGTAGCAGCTAAACTGCATCTCGGAGCACGCCTATGCCTTGTATGCAAGGAAGCAAACAAGCGCAAGGAAAACTGTGTAGCTACATAATAGTTTTACTACCATGGTTATGGTTGGCCCAGCAGAAAATAATCATGGGAAAGTAGCAATTATGCATACTTGATCTCCGTAGGCTAGCAACTTCGAGGAATCGAAATGAAAAGAACAATTGATTCTACTTCATTTAACATCAGTAATTAGAGTGGGAGTTCCCATATCCAAACTCAGACGCGCAAGCTGGTGCTTCTAACCAGCCGGATCCTTGTGTGGCTAGCGTAGCGTTCCTCATTTCCCAAGTTCCCCAAGCAACATTTATACGTGTGAACACACTGCAGAAGTACGACGCCGGCAAATTTCCTATTTTAACATTTCCAGTTAGTAAATTAGTGCGTAAATTATATTGACAGCATGTTGATGTATGCAACCTCTGGCAGGTGACGCTCCGGAGAGTCAACAATCCTTAATGGTGCCGCATTGGAGCATTAGAGCACCTATATTTACTAAGATTTTTCATTTTTGTTACGATTTCAAGTTTACTAGGCCAACTGTTCTTTTTCCCAGTGCCCCGCATGCAGTCCCGTGGTCCCTTTGCTGCGAGCACAAGGCGGGGCTTCCTGTAAGATGCAGTGGCATGCTGCAAACTTTGTTCTTCCAAAGCTCCGCAGAAAACAAGAGGGTTTGCTGTTGGAATTGGGAGAATGAACGACCCAAAAGAAGAAGCTTGCTCCTGATCCCAGCTCAATTGTGTCAGTATCGGGAGGACAAGCCAGGTCAAACACACTGACTAGCAGAGAACGTTAAAAGCCGAAGATGGATTTTATGTACGAAGGTCGTAATGCAGGGGTCTTACTTCACTTAACTTCGCTGCCTAGCAAATGTGGCATAGTCGGGGATTTTGGGGAAAGTGCTGAACCGTTTTTAGAGTACCTTAAGGAAGCTGGGTTTTCCTATTGGCAAGTGCTCCCTGTCGGGCCTTGCACTTATTCTGAGTCCCAACCCGGTTGCCCATACTTGAGCACAAGTTCGTTTGCACTGAACCCCTTGCTCGTTTGTCCTGTTGGTTTAATATCTCTTGGACTTGTGACCGAAGAAGAAGTAAGTCAGTTGGTCGCCAAATGGCAGGCAAAGCAACAAGAGAGGAGAGCCCTTAATAGAGAATGCTCCTCTCATGATACGGTTGAGTATGGTGACTTCGTTGACTACCATGCAGCCAAGGGCTACAAGGATGAATTGCTTGCCGCTGCATACAATGCATTTATTAAAAAAGCTCCTACAGAGGAATACGACGAATTTTGCAAAGCCAACAAATTTTGGCTAGATGGTTATGTGCTATTTGAAGCCATACAAGCAAGGCATCCCGATGCCGCCTCGTGGCTCGAGTGGCCAGAGGAATATAGGTCATACAGAAATCTCGTAAAGAACGAATCATTACTACAGGGCCTTGAGATGCTTAAAGAAGAGCAAAACATCACTGACAAGAACATTACAGGGCCAGTTGAGCAGCTTCTACCGCAATTTCACCGTTTCGTGCAGTTTATACTTTCCCAACAGTGGAGCCAGCTGCGCCGTCAGGCCAATACAAAGGGGATCAAAATCCTGGGCGACATAGCTTTTTATGTCAATATGCATTCTAGCGATGCCTGGAGTAACTCGGAGATGTTTCAGATGGACACTGCTACCAACAAGCCCCTCTACGTTTCTGGTGGGGAGACGAAAATACTGATTGCAGACTACTGTTTTTAATAGATTGCAGTTATGATTGCCATGTATAATACACGAATAGAAGGGCAGCAGTACTCGTGACTCCGAGTGTGCTGTTCAGTGCTTGCGATGCAGGCGTTCCTCCAGATTATTTTAGCGCCGAAGGGCAACTTTGGGGGCATCCGGTTTATGCATGGGATGCACATGAACGCACGAATTTTAGCTGGTGGACTCGCCGTTTGGCTAAGAGTTTCGAGAAATTCGATGCATGTCGACTTGATCATTTTCGTGGATTCGAGTCATACTGGAGGGTACCGTACGAGTTTGCTATACAGCATAAAAGCGCCAGAGATGGAGAATGGGTACAGGGGCCTGGAACAAAGTTGTTCGATGCAATATTCAAGAACATGGGCTGGGAGAATCCTAGGGTAAATGTTGCCACAGCCTACTCGGAAGCATTGTCGAAACACAGAAAGCAGCCAACGGTAAAGGAACGGCTTGCCAACATTATCAGCAAGCACGTCACTGCAAAGTCGAAACCGCTGAAGAAGACCTCTGGAGCCCCACACTCGTTTGGAACGCAAGGAGGAGGCGATACTTCGAGCCCCGCACCCTTACTGATAGCAGAAGATCTGGGTTTTATCACTCCTGAGATCGTTGCTCTTAGGGATAAGTACAGTATCTTTAGCATGCGCGTCATGCAGTTCGCCTGGGCAGATAAAGAAAAGGGCTTGCGCTGTGAACATCTTCCGTACAATCACACAAGGGACTGTGTTGTATACACCGGTACGCATGACAATTCGACGTCACAGTCCTGGTGGACAGCAGCTTCTGCCGAAGAGAAAAAACACCTTTTAAACTATCTTGGTGAGTCTAGCTGGCGAATGTTAATACCCATACGCATGGAAGGGCTAAACACTTGAAAGAACACCCGGTACACTAACATACCTGCATCCCGAATAAGGGACGTGCTTTCCTAAGCGGGAAGTAACAACTAGTCAATCAGCAGCAAGTTCTCCGTTCTAATAGACGAAGGCACCTCAGTAGCACTAAACGTATGGGACGAGAACTTATTTTCTTCTGGCTGGCATGTGTTTAGGGTTAAGAGAAGAGCCGCCAAGCTTTGCAGCTCACAGGCGCCTAGCCCACTTGGCGCTTCTTAGCGTGGCGAACCTCGTTATCCTACCAGTCCAAGATATATTGGGCTTAGACGATAGAGCTAGGTTTAACCTTCCCGGCGTCGATAGCCCCAAAAACTGGAGTTGGAAACTCAGCAGTCTGGGGCCTCTGTATTCGCCAGAAAACCTGAACCCGCTCCGCGAACTGCTCATTCTATCAAATAGATCTAGTTCCTCCGAATAGCTGGGACAGTTTAACCTGCGATGCATGCACCATGTGTGTGGCATGTTGATCCCGAATCCGTCCACCCTTCAGGTGTCCTGCGAGCAGCTCCACAGAGGTCTCGAGCTGGCGTGGAGAGAAAAAGCGATATCCTGAGTTGCAACATTGCTTCTTACAACTCTAGTCGCATGGAACCCCCACGTAAAAGCATGCCGATGCCCCCCCTTGGCGCATGCGCTAAAACCGTGGATATTTTTTAAAACGCTTGCTTGACCCTCGGTTTCCAGTCTGCAATCAAGTAGAAATCCATGCTCCAATTTCACGCAGATCATGCAGCTTCTGATTCTCCCCTCTGCCCCAACAACGCGGCAGTTCTCCACGGAGGAGAGGGAATGAGGGCTGAGTTTAGGCAACCTCAAAAGGCCTAGACAGGAAAGAGAAGTGTAACATGGGAGAGATGTAACACGGAAAGGATGAAAGCGGCATCTACTGTTGGTGCGGATACTTGTTGCTACTGCTGCCAGTCGCATGTTGCTGACGAGCACCAGCGCACCCGCGTGGAGTATCCGATTGCCATATAAGGTATTTAATGGCTTCCGCCTGAGTTGGGAGGTGAGATTTAATGCTGTCACATATCTTGTCGCAAATACGTAGTGAACTTCAGCAGACGCGCAGGACCAACGAGCGCGTGAGGTGGCTGGTCCCGCCAGCCAAATAGGGAACACATCCCAAAATATGCGAAAGTAAAGGTGTGTCCGGCTGCGGCACCCGCCTAGCAGTAGGTAGAGGGAGGGGACATATGACAGCTGGAGAACAATTATCCCTAATGGCATACATATAAAAAGACGTTGGCCCTTCTAGACGACGTTGTACGTATGGCGACCTTCTTCAGCTACCCTCCCTCCTTTATACCTCCTTTGCTGACAGCCTTAACCGAACAAACGCCTTGATTGGGAGGCAGTAAAAGAACTTTTTCTTCGGTGGAGGTGTACGTTTTACTTCTTAACTCACCCGAAGCCATAGCGGTGCTAATGGTACCTTGTTTATCGGAAGGGACTGCCTGACAACGGTGGATCTATCCAATAAAGAGTACATACTTTCCGGAAAGCACATAGACTCTAGAGACTTCCCCACATGCGCCGAGATTTAGAGTATGCCTGACTCAACAGAGGAACAAGCTATTAACTAAGAAAACTTAAACAAGGGAAGCTTGCGATAGGAAACTGCTTTCTGAAGTATCAGTCGTTGGTGTTCAGAAGCCCCGCAGTTGAATCGGAGCCTCATTATGACCGATTCACAGCAGGGCTGTCCGATGGAAAGTGACTGTCTATAATTGGCTGGGCCGCGGAGAGGGTACTCAGGGCTGAAAAGCAGGAACATCTGCCTATCACTGAAAGAGTCGCTTCCATCTCATGAGCGAAGGATTCACATCCAGAAGGCGAAAGGAAGATAAAAGCCAAAGTAGACGGGAGCCAGCAAGTGGCGCGCGCAGAAAGTCGGCGGAGAGTACCAAGCGGCGCACCTGTTTCCTTTAAAGCATGGAAAGTCACATAACTAGATAGCTAAAAAGTGTGAAGTGCTATGAAACTGGAAGATGAAGACTTTCAGCAAGGCCACCAGGGGAATTAGTGAAGTATTCAAAGCCAACCCTTAACCCCCCGCTCGACGGGCGGCGCATCGATGGGGGCAGAACAGGTGACAGCTGAGAGTGCGCCAACAAGCGGCATCGGATGTGCCGCTGAGAACGCTGCCTGCATCGGACTGAACGTAACGCTCACGTGAACAAAACAGGAACACGCCAACATGTATGGTTTCCTCTTTCATAATTGTGAACGCAAAGTATACAGATCAGAAGCATTTCGCCGAGACGTGAAGTGTAGGCTCACACATAAACGGTGCGTTTGCGCCAGCAGTTTTGCCCATAACTGCAGCTCTTTCTCCTACATAGTTTTTGGTGAGACATTTGCCCTTCGGCTCCAAACCGGCCCCTCAGGTTCATGCCGACGGTAAGGACAAACTCAATCTCGAGACACGAAACCAATGTTGTAGTATCCTTGTCTAGGTTATATGCTACTAAAATGAACGCGGAAAACTTGCATTTTCCTTTGGAGTAGATGCATGTTGCTTACGGAGATGAGAGAGTAAAGCGACGCTCCCACGATCTCTATCGGGAAAGAGAAATATGCGTATTGTCGAAACATTCAGCGCGAGATGCTGCATTTTCCACTCCGCACCATAGCATGGCTTTCCCGGAGAAAACCGCTACAGCAATATGGCAGGTGAATCCAAGAAGCACCGGGCATCCTCAGATCAAGTCCGGTGCATTCGGGCAACCTACTGAGTGCAGGAGGCTTGCGCATCGTCGTGGCGTGGCGCCACACTTTGTCCTACTCTATTTGCCATAGATTTGCTGCAAATTGCAAGCACTAATACATTCACCTGGAAAAGCGTTCGAAGTGCGTGACTGACAGAGCAAAAACGAGCCGGACTCGGTGTCCTGGCAAAGCTAGATCTGTCTGAAGTCAAGCTCAAGGACACCGGCGGCGGCAGTTATGCCACGGCTACCTCCGCCTACGACTCCAACCCAGTGTTTCGTAAACGAAGCTGCTCAGGAATTTGCCAAAAGTGGATGACTCCACTGTCGCCACCAGATACAAGAACACTACCGTCAGGGCTAAAGCAGGCGCAGCGCACAGTATCCGCATGCCAACGGGCCTGCGCAATGCAGTCGCCAGACTCGTACTCCCAAAGTCGAAGGAAGCGATCATCCCCGCCTGCAAGCAGGCAAGCATGAAGCCTTCCATATTCTGCAGAATACCATTTTGTTTGCAGGCAGATGGGGTATATTTCTAACACGTTTGTCAGCAGTGCATCTTCGGAATGCCTTTTGTGTTCGTATCACTCTGCGTGGCATCAGGAAGGTGGCTGACCTGTACAGACTAAACTAGCTTTCGTATGGTAGGTAATGCAGTGAACATCCCCTTCGTCTGCGACCTCGAAGTCTCTGATTTTTGTACCATCTAGGGCATCGAAGTAGTGCACCTTTCGATCACTGCCTGTTGCCACGATGTGAACTTCATCAGCACAGTACGTCGCACTCTGCCAGGATTTTGCGCATCGAAAAGCAGAAAGCAAACAGAAACTCAGACGATATTCGGCTTGTGTGCATGTTTATGTGACTGCGCATGATTCTACATCCACTTTCTGGTCGAAAGATTTGTTGCCTGAAACGCACTCGGAAGATTGTACTTTCATTGATTGACAGAATAGAAGTGTATGTTGCCATGTCCCACACAATTATTGTGCCGTCCTCAGCAGCTGTGAGCGCCTGAATGGACATGCCACCTGGAAAGTAAGGCAAACCTGTATACGTTATTGTGTCGACGTCGTCACATTTTGCCCGCCACAGCTGAGTTTGCTCTATTGCCTCGAAGATCCTTATCAAACCTACATGCATGTCATTTCGACGGAGTTTTAAGCTGCAGATCCGTCCACGGTGTTCCTTCTTGCTAGCCAGCATCTCCTGAGACTGGCTATGGACATCCCACACCCTAAACTGGCCTGAGAGGCCGCCTGAAACCAAACGCCTGCCCACTCGGGTCGCTGCGATTGCTGTGACTCCATCCTTATGGGCTTGCTCAATGCAAAAGAGCATTCTTCCTGTTTCTGGGGTAAAGGCCCGAATTCTCCCATCTTTCCACCCGGATATTATGGAGGAGCCATCCGGAGCGAAAGCCACGCACAAACACTCCACGCCGGGAAGCTGAATTCTTAACATTTCTTTGTAGGTCTTCATGTCCCATATTCTCACGTCTGACGCTGAGCAAGTGGCCAGCACTTGAGAACAGTCTTCTGGAAATGTCACTTGATTTATGCTTCCAACGTGCGCAGAGTGCTTGAGATGAGGAGTAAGTGTCCGAGTGTCTATTCTGTAGAGGTTATTCGCTGACGTAGCAACCCAAAGCATGGAACTGTCAGGAGCTGCAACGAGAGAAGTAATCGCTCCAGAAACCTGGCATAAGCTGGCCGGAGACAGCCTATCTGTACCCAGGCGAAGCAGCTGGCCGTCTTCAGTGCCTGCAAAGAGCTGGCTACGTATGAGAGCCATTGCAGTAACTCCTGCCTCAAGCTGCCGCTTGGGGGGCCCACTTCGTTTAAAAAGCCCTGTTCGTAGCGATATTTCTAGGATATCCCCTGAGAAATGCGGTGAGATGAAAAAAGATGAATAGTTAGCAGTTGAATGCGCTGTCACCGGTTAGGCCTTCAAAATATTACAATAGCTTCAAAATAGATCTCCGCACCAATGTTTTCCTTTCATATCAACGCAGCACGTCAAAACCGCGGAATTGTCTGTTGCACCTACGCAACGCTGCGCTTGCTGAACTGCTCCGCAATCTCTTGGTGACGATTGCTTACCAGATTGAGTCCCGCAGTAGACAAATTCATCAGCAGGATGAAGAACAAGTGAGTTGCAAGTCCTGCGGATTTTACCAAGGTTGCAATCTCTCGGTGTCATCTTTTTTGTAGCAGCATCGATCTCCCAAATGCGAACATGGGAGGCTCCAGCTGAGCGTAAAAATAGAGTATCAAGAGTCTTCGTCTGCGTATGCATGGACAAAGCTTTTCGTCAATCACAGCAGTATCGGCTCAATGCTGAAAAGAGACAGACCAGAGACAAGCATGTTCGGCGAGTTGTTGTAAAATGCCAAGCATTTCGACGTGTCTAGGGCAGCCGCTGTTCCGCAAAGGGCCTTCCTTTCCTCAACGCTCCACAATACCAGGGTGTTACAGCTCTCCCCGCCCAAACTGGCCAGGAACTTGCCGTCACAGGAGAAGTCGAGGCACTCAACTGAGACCTTATGAAAGCTGAATGCCAACAATGCAAAACGCTGTTAATCAGTGTCAAAAGGCCTGAGCTCAGCCTACAGGCTAGACCATCGGGCTCAATTAAATATAATGCAAGATCCCCACCTGAGTCTTCCCAGCTCTACTAACTCTTCGAGGCTCCAAATAATGATGTCCGCCACAAACCCTGGGTGCGTCATCTGCCCGCTGGCGAGATACTTCCCATCTTTGCTTACGGCGATGCAGGTAACGCGGTTATCATGCCCACATAGAAACGTTTCTGAGCTACATTTGAGGTCCCGGACAACGACGGAGTACCCAAGGGCAAATATTAGCCGTTGGTTGTCCGGATGCATGACAACACACCTCTTGGAGGTCCCGTTTATGCCAATGACGGCAGAAAGCCTCAATTCATCTGGTTGTTTGTTCTCCATTGTAACCAAAGAATTAAGTTGATTTGTTCTTCACGGCGAATCACTATGAGACCAGTCTAATTCTCATGTCGTCTCCAGTTCGGGCTTTGTATTCGACGGAAAGAGGCTGCAAGTGCTCTGTAGGTATATGCGCATCCTACTGTTGCATTTTCAGGGATTCCAGCCCCTGAAAAAGATGCATGGTGATCTGATACACAGGGCAGAAGTACTAGAAGTCCACAAGGATTTCTCCTCGCTGAAGATGCCCCAATGCAGTGCCTAAAGGAACAGTGACAGGAAACAGACTCCAGCGCCAACCGTTTTGGCTTACACAGCTGTATGGACTTTTTTTAGCTCTCGTCCGATTCCCTTAGGCATGCTACACAATCGGTAGTCAGGAGCTTTTACATTCGTTAATGCCTAGTGGGCCACTCGAATGCAGGAAATGAACTTCTAGAGCAAAATAGCGAAATTCAGCTAGTTGGGTGTGGCAATTTTAACGCATTCAAATAGGTCGGGCGCTTTGTAGGTGTCCTTGCAGATCTTCCGCGAAAAACTGTTGTGATGGGCCGTAGACTACAGGTAGCCACAATGCGTTGTGGGCAGTAACAAACTTGAGAGTTGCCCCCCACCCCACCGCCCCCACACACACGTGCTCACAAACGCTCTTCATTCCTGCTTTTCATGCATGCTCTTTCAAGGAAGTGAATAGAGACAAGGCGCTGGTATAGAATTGCTCGGTGGCCCTGACTGCTTATGGGTTCCTATGAGCAGAAACGTGTGGTGAAAAGAGGGTCACTCGTTTTTTTTAGGTTTGCAGACATGTCTAAGCCAGTTGTAACTGAACATGACCTAAACCATTTAGCAAGTGCAATCGCGTAAGGATAGTCTCAACTGACCGTTCCGATCTAACTTAAGGCAGCAGACTATGCGTAGGCATTCATATATCTCACGAGCTTCATATTCTTTTGCCTACGGCTTGGAGACTACAGAGTCGTTAAAAATGTTCAAGAGCATCATTTGTGTCTGTGAGAAAGAATATCCCTAAAAACGCATGCAAGTTACCAGGCCAGCCCCGTCATCCGCGATTCAGTTACGCATGCATGCATCTGATGTGCAGTCCCGTGCCACAGTTACAACAGTTGGAAGTCTATGTATTATAGATTAAGATGCAGTATTCCGAAAGCTTTTGTGCAATTTTATCGAGGTCCCTACTACTGGCAAATTCTATATTGCATTTGCATGCTAAAGACGGCTATGATTCAGGAACGGCGGCGCCAAGCCAGCCTCCCATGAGCTACGCGCTCGCTCGTCCATAGCGTTTGTCACCTTCTCCTACTAGTTGGCTACGAATCTGTCCCCTAGAAATTAAATTGAAATTTACCTGTTTTTTAGAAGTAACTCGGTGTACTCCTGTCAGCCTAGAGCTGCACTTTCATTAAAGCAGTGCGACTCAAAAAGGAACAGCGCTGCATGAAAAAGTAGAACGAGCTCATAAACCCTAGAGTCTGGGAAAGGCAATGCCGAAATGGATCCCTCGGATTTAGATTTCGGGCTCCACATTGAAACCGCGCGGCTTCAAGGGTTCTTAGCCCAGCTGCTTCGTTCCCAAGAGACCATTCAAAAGCGCCAAGATGATCTGGCGTCTGCCTTCGATGAACTGCTCAAGAAGCTTGCTAGTGGAGAGCAAGGCATTCAGGAGCACCAACAAACTCTGCAGAAGCTGCAGAATGACACCGAACGGCTATCAGAGAGAGTTGATGCGTTGGATAAGCTGCGGATCAGGGAGAAGATAGAAAGATATGACAGTGACCACAATGAGCTCAAATCATTCCAGTCGCAGATATCTCTGCTTGATTCAAAAGTGAGGTCCGCCCACCATGGAGAATTTGAGATGTACAAAAAATNGTTCTTAAGGTTCTACGGAACTAGCGATTCATTCTATGATTGGGTATATACGGCTGCTCACTCTTAGATGTCAGCCAGGATACTTGGAGGAATTCCGCGCGTAAACTTTGTTGGACTGCTATTCTTCAGCCGAGCTGGTTATTTGTTACAATGTTGACTGTGGTGTCAGATCAAAAGCCAAGAATCTACTGCGAGCAATTTACAAGGCCGGCTGGTAGATATAGAAAGCAAGCAAAGCAACCTCGACGACCAGTTTAAGGAAATGTTGCCGGAATTCGGGTCCCTTAAAGCCGGCCAGACAGCTGCCGCTGTTCAGTGTCAAGCAGCAGAAGCGCGGTGCACTGAGGTGCGGACAGGGTTGCGCGCTGCTTACGTTTATGGAACAAACAATAAGCAGATGGTTTTCCTTATAACCTTAAGCAGAGCTTTCTCTGCATATTGAACCATCTTAAGACAAAAGAAAGCGGCTCCCATGCACGGATTGAGAGCAAGTGCATGCCTGCCGCTGCGTGAGGCACTTAATGTAGGTAGAGCGGCGTCAAGAAGAGCTTGCGAATTCCGTCGAAAATAAATATGAGAATCTTTGGCGAGGCGTCGAGCAGTCCCTTGAAGCCATATCGACTGCAGAGCTGCAGAAGTATCAAAGCGACATTCAAGCACTCAGCGGGAAAGTGGAGAAACGGATAAACCTGCGGATAAGCTACTGTTTGGACATTCTTACAAAAGCCACTGAAATGAACAGGCAGAGAGACGTGAAACGATCTGTACTGCTTAGGTTGGTGGTTACGTTGCTTTCACCCTGGCACTGAGACCGTTGAAGAGAACGCAAAGCTTCACCAAAATCTCGTTGCCAACTGTAGAAGCGCATTGCTGTAGACGATGCGTGTGCCTACCATTTTTGAATATTTGAGTTTTGTATCAACGCCAGAAAGTGGGACTGTGTTGTGCAGATGGAGGGAACAAGCGTGGTTGGCAAGCAGAAGGAAGTTTGGACTTTCGTTGCTAGCCAGTCGAATTTATAGCAGAGTGAGCAAACCCAGACATCCCTACGCTTGTGCCGTAAATTGAAAGCAGTGATGATACAATGAATCGACGCCATTGTCGTCGATGTGAAGAAAAAGGTAGTATTCTCTTGGCTTTGGAAGCTTCGGATCCGGTACCTCGCGAATGCTCGAATATACACGTAGGTTCGCAGCTTCTTCCGCCGATGGTTTTATCAAGCTCGATGGGCCTCGGAGATCGAGCGTGTGAAAGAGGAGTTTAAAAAGCTAGTACCAGATGTCGATGCAGTTCTGGCGGGGACCGTCAATCCTCGCCTGCAGCTACTAGAGGAGGGAGCTGCAGCAGAGGCCAGGAAGACCGAGTTACTAGTCGAGCGAAATAAAGAAGTGTGGAGTTATCTACAATCAACTATGGTGAGCACCCTTCCAGGCCTGCTACCTTTGTGTCTGTCTACCCTATAGTCTAGCAGTAATGCTCCCCTTCGGAGGTGAAGGCAGACTATTCCCCTGCACTAGCATCAAATTGGTCACATAATCAAAGCTATAGGTGCCTCACGTTACTTTCCTGTTGCCCCTTATAGGTCGATTGTACCTTTTTTCCATGATGTGCAAATCATAATGTTGGTGCGTATCTGCTTAAACGTTCAGGATCGAGCTCTTGCACTTGAGCATAAGACTAAAGAAGGCACAGAGGCACTGGAAAGAGTCAGTCTTTGAGAGGAGGCAGCTTTTTTCCTAAGAAAACATCTTTCACTAGTGGTGTATAACTTCAGGAGCGATACCAGTCTGTACCAGCTGATCAAACTTTAGTGTTGCTTAAATGTTGTTTCGCTGAACTTACTTATGCATCGTCGTCCAGATGAGCACCGACATCGATAGACATGCAAACTTCCGTCGGGATGCTGAAGAGCGTGTGCAAAGCGCAGAAGCTATGGTTACGCAACTGTCCGAGCAATTCGCCCTTCTGGCAAGAGACGGTGATCTTCCTTCACTACTGTTTAAATGAGTCGCTCGACAACAGGTTTTGGTTCAAACAGTCAGCTATATTGCTGTAAGATCTTCGAATCCCGCCCTCACGGCGCTGGAAATAGTTGAAGAAGTGCAGCAGGCGAATAAAACGCTGAGTGTATTCAGACGACGTCAAGAACATGATGAAGGACATTTTGCTCATATGGACTGCCGTGAAACAGCTTGATGCCGCAAAGGCAGATAGGAAGGAACTTGAAAACCTAGGAGTCGAAACAACTGCAAAGAATGAAGTAAACTTGGGTTTCCATTCACTCCCCATAGGATAGCATTCTACTTGAATTAAAGAGAATGCCGCTGCTGAGCGTTGGTAACGCTTTCGCAGTTTGCTGCCGTATGGGTGTACGGTATCCATGCAGACACTGTCGGAAAGCGTTCAAAAACTGGAAGATTACAATACTGTGCAGGTTAGACGTAGGAAGGGCACGAACCTCTTCCCATTATCACTGAGGCTGTTTCGCGGGTTAATTGGGTGGGCCCTTAGGATCCCTCCGATCACTCCATGCGGGCGCCATGTGGGCTTCAGTGTTCTGAAACGCTGTTGGCTACATTCGTTAATTCGCTGGAAAAGAAGAGTCTGTAGATTCGCAGGATACTGCTCTAGAGGAGCGAATATCAGCTTTGCATTCTGCAATCAAGGATAACAAGGCCAGGCACGAAGAACTCGAATTCATGTTCGGACTGGTTGTCAGGTTGGTTGAGGACATTGCCAATATCCAGTTCGGCAAAATGCAGGTGACTCGCTGAGCTATTTCCGAGACAACAAACGATACTGTATACATTTCAATTCAGTTTTGCAAAAAATTGATCACGCTGTCCATGGGGGTCATTTAGCAAATCTAGTAGTTTTCTCCTGCAGGCACGTCTGGCGACGAGCGGACGGGCGGGGATTGGAAGAGTAGAAGCGCGGCCCACTCTGCGGAAACCCATCAGCAGAGCGAACGAGACAAGCGCTGGAGCCCCCAAAATAAGCATGCCTGTCTCATTCTTGGCAGGGGAGAACGATGGTACAGAACGTGGTGGTGACAACCAAATTGTGTCAGATATCCGTTCTAAGTCCAAACCGAATGCGGACTGCAAACTAAGCCAGCCTTCTCTCCAGCCTCATTTGCTTCCAGACTTCAAAAACAAACAGTTCTCCAGGTGCGGAAATCCAGCCAAAGTATATCTACGCCTGTTAGTCTCAGCAATATTGCCCTGCTTCAGGTGGTTACAGGCTAAAACATCGGCTTCAATGTGTGCTGAAACCTGCGGACTTTTGTGTACTAATTACTCCCTACTTTTGGTTCCTCAGGTCTCCGGCGGTGGCAGCGTTTGCTGATTGGGTTAGCGATGTCCAAAAAGCATTGAAGTTAGAGTACAGCCCATCTGATTTTAGTGGTACCCAGGCTCATGCAAGCAGATAGAAATGATGGGAGGTCGGAATGTGAAAAATGGCCTCCGTGAAGATGTAACGTAACTCATGGAGCAGCACATTGTCGAAAGTATAGCTTCATTTGACTTTTTTGCAATGATTGTTTTACGTACCAGCTACTCAGCAGGTCAACTAACGCTGATTTTGAAGAGCCTTGCCAAGGGGTTCTAGCGAATGTCATCGCGGTTATCCTGCACCTGCGTCAAGCGTCCTAAGCAGGGTCCTGTTCTTTTAGATCACAAGGAGTCGGCATCCCACCAGCAAATTCAAGCGCAGCTCGGTCTTTAATCACCGTAGTATGCTGGTCGAACGTTTTAGAGGGGAATAATTGTGGACCTTCCTAGGTTTCTTCCAGTGGTAGAAAAGCGTAGCATGCAATATCCGCTTTTAGAGATTGTTTTCGGCTTGAATTTCGTACAGTTCAGACTGTACTCTAGTTCGGAGCAGGCTGCCAACTTAGTAAAGATGAAACCTGCAAATTGAGCAGCGTGACTTGAAACTTGATTTAACATTCGCGCAAAAAGTCAGCTTGCTGTTACGCTTACTTGAAACAATTCCTAGGGGGATCTTTATGGCAAACATATTGGAGGAATGATGGGGTCTGCGGTGTGATTCATTCTGCATGAGTTGTCCTCGCCCGACTATTCCAGCGATGCTGTTCTTCAAAAGTATGTACATAGAAAGGGTCATGTTAAGGGTTCTGGTAAGACACAGTATGATACTTCGCGAGAACTGCCGCTCTCCTTCGGCAGTGGTATTTTTCAGAAGGCCGTCCAGCTTCCAGATGTAATTAGTGACAGCTTAAGTCATCCTCGCTGCCTTAACTGAATTCGATCAGGGGATGGAATGTTGAGTTTGGTGAGGCTATCCGCAACAACGTTAATGTTAGTACAGCCTCTACACGATGGAAAAAGCATTCCGAAATCCACGGGGATATCCTTCCTCACCCGTTATGATTCAGAAGACACCGCAAGTGTCCTGCTTTGGCAGTGTTCCTCAGCTTTAGTTGCGATAGTCCATGGATGTCCGGTGACACTGCTCTGCTGTAAAGTTCATCCTAGACATCCAAGGGGAACTGGGCGCCCGCTTCGCTGTTACTTCAGCAATGGCCCGTAACAGCATTATTGTGTAGTTCGGTCAAAGTGTTTGTATCCACCGAAACTTGAATACAATCAGAGTAATCGACATTTCCTCTGATGTCACACGAGAGCGCTGCCCATGCTGTTATGGGTAACCTGCCGTCCGCTGCTGAGCCTGGCAAGAAGCGCAAGGAAGCTAATATCTACGGAGCAAGAATATAACGACTTAGAAAAGAAACGGGAGTCATCCCAGTTAGCCGCAGCTGTGGAACGCAGTGCGTGACCTGCGGGGCGCCTGGAGTGGTCGTCAGCGATGACCCTGAAACGTGATGCAAAAGATGTTGCAACTTGCCAGGCCGTCTCCTCTCCCAGCCCCAAAGGCCTTCGTGCGGGGTCTAGTGGGGTTGCAGATATAACAATATTGGGGAAAAACAAGAGAAGTCTCCTTTAAGTTTTGATTGATTTTTTTATGTTGCTGTATCAGATGAGAGGTCTGAGTGTCTGTAGCAGTTTACTTGAGGGTGTTAGTTAACCCATGACTGCAAGATCGTTATACTCAGCTGTGGCGGATGCGCCCCACAGTACTCTTTCAGACGAGTGGCCCACTAATATGTCATGCTTGTTGAAAATACTATACTAAAATGTAATATTCCTTATTATCGTGAACATATCTCGACATAGCATGTGAGGGACTGAGGGCTTACACCACACAATATCCGCTTACTGGGCCCGCAGTGCTTCCGTTGCTATATATTCACAGCACCCCATCGCGTGAGCGAACTTCGATCCGTACTAGGTCTCACAGTTGGGTTTTTGTCTGCATTTGTGTTGTCGTTGGGAGCACAAGAAGCAGAGCTGCGGGCATTGACTGGTGCATCCATTGACGATAGTGAGGTCAAGTTCCGAGGGCCGTAGGATCCGTAAGGCCCTAAACTCCCCTTAGCAGGCCTTCTGTAGGGGAGTTTCTCACAGTACAGTAGCAGGACGCGAGGCTGAGAAGCCTCTAGGTTCCACGGCGATTCTACAGGGTTTGTTGCCACGTCTGAATGGCCTGTATCTTCGCCCGATCCTGTTCGCATCCTGCTGAAGGGAAGCGTAACTCTAAGCAGCTAGTCGCCTGCAGAAAAATATGAACAGTTTCATGCTTTGACGAGCCACTGCGAACGTAACCTCTGCAGTATGCGATCCCTTCAATGAATGACGTACGGCATGAGGCTTATGTATTGCTGAACTGGCCCAGCGTATGGTAGCACCATATCAGCAACTCCCAGCAACTAATCCGCTATTTCTCTCTTCGCGAGCCAGTCAGCTACGGGTTACCTCTTTACAACTATTGAGACAGTCTCTTCCAAAGATACTATTGAGCCAGCATAAAAAAATTAATAAATATGGAACAGAATTACTCGCTTCAATAAATGGCGAACGGTTCCCTTCTTAGCAAAAATTTAGTAATTGTACCGACGATGTTGCAGCCAACCTTCATCCAAGGGATTCCCCACCCCTTGGGTCAAACGAGCGAACTGCGCTCCTGTTACCCACGTTAAACACAAGTTACGCTACTGCATGAGCTCGAGTTCGTAAGCCTTCACTTGAACTCAGCATTTAAGCAAGTGATCCATTGATACTACTCTGACAGGTATTTCTGCCTTAGGATGCGCCAGAAATATCTGGTGGAGGAACAGACCTTGTTAGTTGCCCTGCTGCTATACTGTTGTATACACTTTGATCCATTCACTCGAGAAAATCAGCCTATCCGTTCTGAGATAAGTAACTGATATTCTCCCGACTGGCTGAAGTTACTGATGTCCTCAAGAGGGGGAGGATCGCATTCCTGGAAAATTTCCGGCAGTTTCTGTTCTTCTGAGTGCTGATTTTCAATAGATATAGAGTCCGCCGCATCTTTTGTATACTGAACAGCGTACTTCCCTGGAGAGAACAGCCCACAAAACCTATGTGGCTCTCTTTTCTGCCATTCTTGGGGGTTAAGTAACAGCGCACTGTGTGCTACAGCGGACTGAGGTTTACCTTGGTTTGCTTTTCTGCTTTGGAGGCGTTGTTTCCCAGTCAGCTCCAAACATTGGATTTCCTTATCTACACTCACTTTCGGCATACAGATTCGCAGGTCACCAGTGGTTTGTGAGCGCGTTATCTGCACGCAATCGCCTTCTCGCAGGAAAGGCAGGTTACTGTTCGCAATTTAGAAGAGAAAGACAAGATCACGGTCAGAATGTGGCGATGTTATCATGTAAATGTTGTGGTATCTGCGGGTGTGCAAAACATAGAAATATTCAGTTATTTTGTTGCTGAGATTGTTCTAGCTTCCCACCATGACGTGAGTGTCTATTCAGGATGCGTTAACCATTCGACACTGACATTTCCTTGCCGTGACTTCTACCGTCTAATCACCAACGATGTTGTGGCGTGCAAAGCGTTATAATAGAAGTTAAGGTGGAGGCATAGCATCGACGCAGCCCCCACATATCATTTATTTTGGTATACAGTGGGTTGTGCTGAGTAAGCAGGTGGCGTTCTAACCTTGGTTTTGTCAGGCGAGATGTCTTCAGGAAGCCGCAGCTGCGTCACCTTACCTACTCACTCGGAACAAATACCAATGCAGGCGCATTTAGCCGAAAGGAGCACCAACTTAAGGTTGGACACAGGATTCAAGTATTCACATCCCGTAGAAAACCAAAACCCACACTTCTACGCATTCGCATTAAGCCTTTGGGGGCATGCCGTATTTCTTTTACCCTTAACGGTCACTCGAAGATAGCTAGGATGCGCATCAACGTCAATAAGCGTAGTTGATAAATGCCTATGAAAGCACAGCCGGAAAAGCCCACCTTTACAAGGCTTTTCCCCGTGAGTAGGTGCATTTCACATTAATTGAAGGGTTAGGACAGATATTTATGTTCTTTGCTCACCTTGGCAGCTGAAAAGTCACGATTATCATAGAAGGCTGGCTGTAAGAGTCCATTGTGAATTTAAGACGACCTGAAAACTCCAGTAGTGATGTGCACATTACCCTTCCGTGATATACGGCAAGCAACATCTTTACTCTGAAGCGAAGAAACTTAGCTGCAGAGTCGTAGAATTCGTACCTTGGTTGCACTGACGGATTTCCCCCTTGCTATTATAAGTTTCAAATGGCTTGGTCTGCAATGGACGGACGCAGTGAACCGTAGAAATTGAACGCGGCTGGGATATGAGGAAGAGAATCAACAACAGAAGTGCTTCCTAGTGGGCTTGCCTGCACTTTTCCTTCTTCCGGCAGCTTTGGATTGGTTTCTGCTTGCTGAAATGAAACAAAGCTCATGCAACAATATGGAAGGAGGAGTATGTCATCCAGCACGCTCTTGCTGCAACGTTCGCCTGGCGCGTTCGTGACAGACAAACGAACGGTGATGTCTCTATGGCTCACATTGCCTTTTAATCAGCTCAACCACTGCATATCACTCAGTGCATATGAAGAGCCTCTCATAACTTACGTGAGCCATCTCCTGGTACATCTTTTTGCGATTTTCCCGAGTGTATGCATTCTGGGAATCATCTACTGCGCAGTAAAACATCATTAAGGCACATCTTCCACTTCGCCTGCGTGACGAACTGTAGCTCGCAAACAGTTTTTAACTTCGAAGGGAGTTGGCATGCACAGTTCTCGCCTGGAGCATCCTCCTGACGTTGGATTTCTTTAGCAAGGTCTTCTTGTAAAGCGGGAAGTGCACGCAGAGCCTGTATGCGTTCAACAGGCGTCACTACCTTCCCGTCCAGCTGTTTGAGTTGAGGTAGATTCGCAATTGTAAAGCTTCTAAATCCCGTCCATCTGCAGTCATTCGGAGTCATGGCTTCACATGCTTTTTTATCGCCATCCCAAAAGACGCATTGTCACTTCTGCAGTTGTTGCCAGTTTCTCTAATATAAACACGCTGTAGTACTGTGAGGTCATGGCTTCTCACTCTGTGCATGGGTTTCCCATGAGGTAGAGATCCTCAAGAGAGCTGACTTGTTTAAGGTTGCTCAGTGATTCTTCCAGCCTACACAAGCTGATGAAGTTCACGGTAAGGTCGAGCTGCACAGATTGGACGCCAAGCGAAGTGTAGTGTCTCGATTAGTTGCTGTCGAGAGCCATGACATCCATCAAATTCGTGCTGGCCAGCGTGGGACCGCTAATTGATCTTAGTGCAAAAGTTCGCCAACACTAACATTTTGATTAAGTATGTCTGCCACGCATTCCACATGCCTTTTTGAGACTTTCACAGCGTTCGAGGTTTTCGATGACTTCAATGTTATTCAGTGCAACGTTCAGGTACTCCAAGCGCTTGAGTCTTCGTAGGTTTTCAAGCCGCTCTGAGGGGAAAAAAATTGCTGAGTATTATGCTGCAATAAAGCTTTGCTGATTTTTAGAATATTTCCTGTCTACGTTTCACTTTTGCAGGGTGGCACAATCTGAGGCTATTGGGATGCTGTTCTATGGACAGTTTCGACCTCCGTGCACTTTGACCACCACGCTTAGAGGCATAATAGCTGGACCCACCAATCAGATTGTTTTGCAGCAAAAGAATTCTTAGATCTTTGCACAAACGGTCAATGTGCTCAATCTTTTCGATTTCAAGTTGGTGCAAAGCTATTTCTTCGAGGTCTTCCAACGTTCCTTCATTGTGCTCCGACTTGCGACGAATGAGGTCTTCTGTTATCCTCATCGTCGTTGCCAGATGAGGTGAATTCGAGTTAAGGACAATCTAGAAGTGAAATACGCATAAAAAGCCCAGAAATAAAGCAACGTGCCTAACGTCGAGGAAAATAGTATGTCGGTCCAGTAAACGCTCCATTTGTAACCAGCGTGTCTTCTGTCGCGTAGCACACCCTATCCACTAAGAGGTGGCGCACCGCCGGTGTTATGCTTTAAGCAAGGAAATAGAGGCAGCAAGACTATTGTTTGATTTTAAATCGTATTAGCGCCTATTTTGTTGTTTTCTTCGAGTCCTGACCCTGATTACGCACGGATCCGTGAATTCTCGGGACAGAATTCCCCCTCCGCAGAACCCAGACGCTGGCAGCCGTGTCGTCGCGGCAAGAGGCGTTTTGCTTCATACAATCTGAGCTGAGGTTGGATCTGGTTGTTCGCAGCCAGCGCTGTACACCAGCACCGGCCAGTTTCCACAAACAGTGTAAAGTAGCTCGGGTGACTTCTGGTTACTTCTGTAACCAGAAGTCACACTACATCTGAACTGATGTAAAGTTTGTATCCTCGCAGTATATCTTATGAGCGTGGAATTGTAACTCAAGAATATCGATTTTTGAGCAACCCAGTGCGTCTTCATTTCAATTTCAATCCTCTCAGCATGCTGCGTTGGTACTTTCATTGTTTCCCTAGCTTTCTACGTGAAAACGATTTACTCCGCAGTAACAGTGGTTAGGCACTATGTGCATGAGTCGTAGTAGCCATAGTTGTTAATTTCTACCTTTTTCCTGTAAACCTAAATATTTTTCATTAGGACCAGCGTCTGTCCCCATTCCTTTCCAGCTGAGTTTACCTGCCTACCAACACCTCAGGCTTTTGGAGGGCTAGTTCGTCACTCAGGTCGTAGACATGCTGTGCTGTTGTGCCCCTGGAGCTCGAAAGGGGACATCCATGTTCGCTAGAGGATAAGGCTGATTACTATCCGCAAGCTAATAAATTCCCTGAGTAATGGGAAGCGCTTGCCCGTCTATAATTCATCATAGAAAATAGGATCTTGAAAAAGAGAGACGACAAACCGAAATGAGACGATCCCGTCCATGCAAACGGACGGAACAACCAATACATTATATATTTAGGAAGTTACGAGATAAAGGAAGCTCAGAGACTTCTCATGTGGCAGCAGTTGATGAAAAGTCTACCGCGAAACAGAGCCCTGTGGTGTTTCGTCTTGGTGTCTGGCCCTCCCTGTTCGCTATAGGGGCAACTCCGAGGAGTTCACCCCTTAATCCCGGGGCCAAAAGCGGCTGGTTCATTCCCTAGTGGCTCGGACATCCCCTTCCAGACTTCTACCTTACTCGGCAACATAAATTGCAATTTGCACTGATAATTCGTACGCTCCGATTTTGCCTGTTCTAATGATAATTGACACCATCCGTTAGGACCAAGGCTACCCATCACGTCCACTGTAACTAAAGGCACTAAACCCTCTGCTTGGGCTGAGCGCTGTGCTTTTGCAAATGCCCAACCGCGCGGCACGCATTGACGTTCCAAAGCGCTTCACGCTTCCAAGTGGGTAGCCAAGCTCTTTCCCCCCTCAAAGCTGAGCGACAAGTTAAAGTGCTGGAGACACAGATTCAGGAAATGCATTACTGTTGACTGTTAAACATTTCCCTAAATATGAGAACTTACGGCCCCTTAGAAAGCGGGGGCTCTCAGGTCCCTCATGAATTGGAGCTCGCACTCGCCAGTGGCTGCGCAGAGCGGTAGTCTCCAACACCTCCTTCACCGTAGCTTGGGCTCCGAGCAAAACTCCAATAACTGCAGTTCTTCAGCCAATGAGTTCAGCTAAAGGGTGCCCGAGCCCTTTCACAAGATGGGCTGCAATGGATTAGAACCGTGGGCGGGAGTGCGGGAACGGAATGCTGCCGATGAGCGAGCCGTCAGTCCTTTGGTTCTAAAGCAACGGCAGGACCAAATACGCTTTAAAGACTTCACTTAAGAGGCAATTACTTTCCTAAACTCGGCTGATCGTTTCTCCGTTCCCCCAGCAAGCCCCATTGGGGCACATTTGAAGGTCCGTACTTCAGACTAGTGTGGCTTGGCGAGCAACCCCTGACTCGCAACGTCAAGCTGCAAATACTCGGTTCACATGAGCTTGAATGTGTGCCTATCAATAGCTTAAATAACTCATAAGGCCCGAACTCTGAAGAATACTTCATTCCGAAAGGTAGTTGTCACTTTCCCTAAGGACGTTGTTGCCGTTGTGATGCGTTGCGGCGTGCCGGGATAGCAAGCCTACAAACGGCTATAACAAGTCGGCCCCAAAACCAGCGGTATGTTGCCGTTTTACTTGTGGCGACAGTCTAAATGGCTTCATTTCAGTACCAACCTTACTACATACCAGTTCAAGGTATTTTAAAGTCGCGATTGACAGCATTACCCCGCATCTGGAGTAAATAATAAAAGTACCTGCCTCTCCACTACTTTATGTTCAAATAACTACTTCATTTTGCGCATTTCATAACACTTTAAGCTTGGCCCCTTACAGGGCTTTGCCCATGCACAACGATATGAGTCGAGGGACATAGCAACTACGAGTCCTCCAGTTGTGGCCTTGATTGCAATAAATATTCACTACATTGACCCTCTGTGCAGACGGCCAAGCAGTTTATTCATAGATATTGTACGTTTTGCTGCTGAAGATAACGGTTATGGCTTTCTTGGTGTTGAACGCTTCTCCCCCGCCTTGCGCCGTTCAGCCTACATTCCCTTTGCAGTGAACGTCAGCTAGGAGGATGCGCATGTCTGGATACTTTTTTTTACCCAACACGCGAGCAAGAGACAAGTAGACAAGATTGCCGTTCAAAGCAAGAAGGCAATCTACGGTACACTGGAATTATGTAGTAGATTTCACCTCGTTTGCCCCCCCGCTGCCTGATGATACATGTTGCAGGCGCAGATTCTAACTGCAAGGTGAATTTCTGTTTGTTTCAGAGTAAAACTCACAAAACAACAGCAGTTTAAATAGGCTTGATCGGGTTATACAAGTTTAGCAGCCCACTAGCCCCTGCAGCTCCTCGAAACTGCTGGGCTCGGGATCCTTGTCGCCTCCAGTGGGGAGCAAAACAGTACATTTAGCAGAATCAAGGCCAACATGTGGGTTTATATTTCAAATTGGTTTACTCCGTACGTTAGAAAACTTGCATTCTTTGCACAGCAAGTGCGCAGTACCTTGGCATCAACTCACTGGAGTTTTCCCACGAAGCCAAAGCTGTTATTCAGTGGTAGGCGTGGCCATCAGCTGCTTTGTAGTGTTTCAACACAGAGTGTCCGTCATCTCCTAGAGGAGGCTCCATTTGTTTTGGTCTCCAGACTCACATACTGCCCACGACCGTTGGTGCATTTGTCGAAGGTCTAGAAGAGGGAAAGTATGGCGGTGCAGCGCAAGCGCAATTCTCAGTTTATGACTGGAATATTTCGCCAGCGTTAGAAATAAAAGCTACTACTTTCTGTATCGGTTGGAGAGGTGCGCGTGCCATGCAGCGTCTGTAGGCAACTAGAGCAGAGAGTGCTGGAGGCGGCCTCCGACTGGCCGCTGGTCACCCTCCCGGCGCCGTTGCAATTCCTTCTGATGATGGCGCATGCGCTGTGTGTATGGCTCCCCACAAATACATTTTAAGACAAGGAATTTGAAAGGCTGAAGTTTGCATGGTGGTTCTCGAAGGGTTGGGACTGCTCTGGTGGCGAGCCACAAGCGGCGCACAGGCCTCGACGCAAGAGAGACGACCAAAAAAGGCGCAGCGAAGATACCTGAAAAGAAGGAATCCGTCTGGGCAAAACGAATAGTCAATTGGTCTGTTTTGTCTGGCAAAAGGTCGTAAAAGGTGAGCCCGGTGGTCGGAAGTTTCCCAATTGGTTTCATGTACCCGCCAGGTACCATGACTGCATAGAGACAAACACCACATGGCAGTCGGTGGGCTGCTCAAGGCATATATCTGCGTTGCAGACAATTTGGGACAGCATGAAGGCATTAAGGAGAGGCAAGGCTCTGCTTCTGGCAGTGGCAACAGCTCTGGTGGTCCTATCAACGGACGGCACCACTCTACAAAGTAAGCTCACCGAGGAACGACGCTGGATTCGTCAATCATTGTTGCCCAAAACCTCGTGTTCGTGCTTATTGTTGTTTGTAAGTAGATCAATCTGTACTTTCTCATTGCTGTCCTCAGGCATGTCGCAAAATTGGTTCCGGCGAAAGCTGCAGGGGGTAAGGAGGCGGCCTGGAGGTGTTCCTGTAGTTAAGTCTTATAATTAATTTAGTCAATATACACATTGGATTAATTTTAATTGTGCTTCTGCGCGCAGCTCCGTGGGAGGATGAATTGGATGAGATCGCCGGAGGTAAATTAATAACACGGAGACACTGTTAAGAACAGGCAAGTAGGAATGACGGTTCGTTGCAAACACCGGTGTGCATACGGACTGTGCAGCCAACTCCTCTTTCGGATCTGTCTGCGGTTAACTCCCTTTCGGAATTGATCACCCGCCTGAATGTAGCGGGCTTCAAGGGCCGCCGGACAGAAGCGGACTTCATATTGGTATTTGAAAGTGAGTGACTTTCCCTATGCTGCCGCGTTCACTCCGAGAAAAGAAGTTTGTGCACAGATTTCTTGGTGTTTATCTACACTGCGTCGTCAGGCCTGAGAACATGCTTCAGAAGCTTCTCCCCACCGCCAGGTCTTGCACTTGACTTCACACAGCATGCAGAAATGAGTCCAGATGACCTCATTAGAAATTTTTTCAAATTTCTTCCACCATGGCAGTTCATCCAGGGCCCAACCGAGAATAGACTCTCCCAAGCCAGCTTTGTTGAAATGGCTCCGGATGGAGCTGCGCCGGAAAGCACTGAACCTACACCTCCAGTAGAGGACCAGCCTGAAGAGTCAAGACCGCTTAGGACAATACGTTTCGCGAACAGTCCAAAGCATATTCTTGCCCACATTATCAAGAACATTTACTCACACTTCCGCGGTCCAACATGCCAGCAAACGGCAAAGCGGCTGGATGGAGCTGCTCGTTTTCTTTTGCGTAACAACTCGAAAGCTGCTTTGATGGAACCTCTTCTGGTTTATTCCCTTATCCAGGGGAACGCAGCATCTGCCGCAAAATTGCAGATTCTCCAGAACTTTCTTAGGGATGTTTCTGAAGATAATTCACAGCTCCAGCAGACACCTCACATTGCAAAAAACAATTCACCAAAGCCTGGCATATACGACCCGATCATGTTGGTCTTCTACTTTGACCTTGGTACGATGATAAGCAAAACGAAAATATCTTCGCAGTTCACTGTTTCATTCTGTCGAAAGTATAAATGCTTCATGTGGTGCAGGCTGCTATGTGCATGCATGCTTCTTCAGCGAAAGCCGGCTATACAAGTAAAATTAAGGCGCTTGAAAGGCACCTCGGCAAACCCGCTGACGAAAGGATTGTAGGTAGCAAGCTATTTGGAAACTCCCTTGCGAATCCCCTTACGCATCAGAAAGTTACAGAAGTTGGCAGGGCTGTTGGCGGAGACGAGGAACTTTTGAAGAAGGTGGTGGAACATGTTGGCCTCGCGGCCATGGATTCATCAGATGCAGTTTCAATCCTCATGCCGGATGCACCGAAAGTTGCTGCCTTCCTTCGCGGCGTCTCCTTCTTCGTGTTTGAGAACGTCTTCAAGCAAAATGGTAAGCCTACTGGGTGCCTCTGGTAGACGATACAAATATAAACCAACGCCGTGCTTATTAAGGGGGCAAGCGCATTTCCCGACTGCGGCGCAGGCCCGTATGTTATGCCGGGGCTGCCATGTGGAGGTAACCTGACTGGCAACATGCTGGAAACTCTGACAGGAAAGAAGCTAGGCAAGAAGTATTTTGTCTACAAGTATACAAGGGCGTTGCAGGGAATTTCAATCCTTCCAGAAAGCGTGTGGACACCAGACTCAGATTCCCAACTTGCGCGGCTTCTCAAAGAGAATCAGCAGGCAAATGGGGATTATTTGTTCAGCCACCTGCCACGCGTTTGCGTGCGGTCTGTTCTGTTTACAAAGTGCTCGAAGAAGCCTCCATCAGATACGAAAACCAACGAGCAGCTGCTCTGCCACTTCATCAATACCCATCAGAGCCTCTTCTTCGAGGTCGACGGTGAGCCTCGACTAATGGGATAGAGGCTTGATCCACTTTCACTCGTACTGCGTCAAGCTTTATTTTCAAAAGACACTGTGATATATTGCTTCGCAGGAGCGGGGGTCAACGCCTTGCGCAAGAGCATGCAGGAAGGGCAATTCTCTGGCGGACGAGTTCCAAGGAAGCGCAGTGCGCTTAGCCGGAGCGTGCAAGCAATCGGCCGCTTCTTTTTTAACAAAACGTCTGCCGCGTTGGTTCTGGGTGCAGGTGTCGGAGGCCTGTGTATAGCCACAGGTTTGGCAGGAATGTTGGGCGGTTCAGTGTGCGCTGTCGGCGCAGTGCAGGCGACCTCATTTTTCCGCACCTTATTCGCCGCCACACCATTTGGAGCCAGACCTTCTATCCCACTCAGCGTTGGCGCTTTCCTCGCAGGTGAATTCGACCGAGAACTCGACACGCTATCTGTTATGCTTGGTGAGCATACGATTCAGCACAGGGGTACAGGTAGCGTGGAAGAAACCGCAGCGCCTGTATAGCCTGTATATTTTGGCACGTGAGTGGCTGCATCTGCAGTGCCACGCACATCCCTCCTGATATCCTCCATTGCTTCAGGAATACGTTTTTTAAGCGGAACTTTCCCTTCTGAAACATATAGTTTAGTGTCAAAGCAAACGTTGGCAGAATATACTGCATACTAAAAAGCAGCCAGCTTGATAACTGAACTTCATATGTTCTTCGTATGCATTGCACCGAAACCCTAACCTGGTAGAGAAGCGTCATCTGCAACGCTACCTGCTAGTGGCAGCCGTTACCTAAAGAACTTCACGGTACCTTGCAGTTCGGGTAGGGGGTTGGGAATAGAGCATGTGTTTCGTACGAGAAAATCAGATGTGAGGTGAATAGCCTTCTGCATAGAGGCTAATCGCCTCGCGCGTCGATTAGTGCAAGGACGTCTTCATGATCTGTGCTTACATCCCTTATATGTCGGAGAAGTTAGCCCTCCCCGTTTTTCGGGATGAAGGCCTGCCGCAGACCTGGGAATTCTACGTTAGTCTGCAAGAGAAACTATTATGAATTCTTTATCTCTAAGTTGGACCACGTTTGGCATTCGGGCCTGAGGAATTTCTTCGTCGAGCTAGTGTCGACGCCTAGAATGCATACTATTCTGCATCATAAGAGAGTGCATTTTCGTCGATATCAAAGCCCACCAGTACATATTTTGGTGTGCAAAGCGGACTTGATGCTGAAGTGTTCCACAAACTGAAGCATGCGACTAGCGCACTTCGCACGTTCTTGGGCTGTTCAGTAATTCGCTCTAAACTTCGTGCTGAGCCCCCGGTAAAACCGGGAAAACAATGCGGCTTTGCTGTTGAAGGTCTTCAGCTCTTCAGCTGTTCCTTGAGCTACTAGGTTTCCACTGCTCTGAACCAAACGCATTCTGCCTCTAGTGCATGCCCGAAGCGCCGCACTCGAAAGTTCAGCTCTGAACAAATGCACCTTCCGACAGTTGCTGCTGAGCAGACATCCTCAGAGCCTCATAATATTCTGCTGCGCAGGAAGGGTAGCCTGTGGCAAGGTCATCGACCGGGTTTGCTGGAGGGAAGACGCCTGAACGAAGCGGTTTACCACCCATTCACAGCGTTGACTGCAGGAGGGAAGGTCTCTGAGTCAGCACCAGGAGCAACAAAGCCAAGCTCGGGAAACTAGCGCCTAGTGTCTCCAGCGGGGTCCTCCCGTACTGTATCGTAAGTGCAAGTGATTTTACCTGTCTAAGCTAGGTGATGCTTCAAGCAGCTTCAACTCACCTTGTTGCTGTGTCGAGTCTCCACAAGTCTTGACTGCCTCCACTACGGACGCTGCCACACTGATTGATTGGCTCAGCAGCGTGACGGCCTGCAGCACACTTGAGCAAGTTACGGCAGCGCAAGGTAAAACCTAAACATCAGCCAGCATATTGCTAGTGGCGACTTCTGCAGAAACGGTGCTTGCCTGTTTCTTAAATTCATCGCTGGTGATGGCATCCACAGCTCTGTCTACCGCCCCTAGCAGAACCACTGCGCCCTCGTGCAGGTCTCCGCCTTTGTCACTTCCTGTCTGAGTTGCTTGCCGCAATGCCTGATCTGCAACAAGGCAACTCTCCCCACTTTTCGCGGCTGGCCGTTCTGAGCTATCACGCGCAGTTTGCCCAGAGGTCGAAGTAGCCATCGCCACGGCAGCTGCAGCGGCTCCAGAGAACATTTCCCCTACCAATTTTGCCGCGGAAATAAGAGACTGCTCCGGTGACGGGAAGCCCATAGTCTTTCCCTGGTATTGCTCTGCCTGCTGCATAACAGTAATTTCGCTGGCGCTTTCATCGTTCGAGGAGAAACACGATACCTGGGGGAAGCAGCTGCTTGGTGGGAGTGTCCGTTGTGCCTCTTGTTCAGGTTTAGCGTGCTTCTCCCGACTGCTGTCTGCAGTGGTTTCCTTCCCATTCGTGGGCTCCCTGCACTCTGCAGCAGAAGATTCAGTCTGAAAGCTACAAGCCTCTTTAGCCTGTCCTGCATGCTGCTTTGGCACTGCTTTGGTTCCCTCGGTTTCCTCTGCTGCCCGCGCCGCAGCTGCAGCTGCAGCCGCACGTTCACCGGCTGCTTGTCTGAGGGCAGCTGCTACCCTGTGGGCCACTGCGCAGCTATGCGGGCTGAGAAGAGCTTGTTGTGTACCCTGGTGCTTTATGCAAACCACATCGGCCCCAGCCGCCAGCATGTGGGACGGGACGTGGATGTGTTGCTGCGGCCTTGGGCTCCCGTCTCTCAGTTGCTGCTCCACCACGGTTCTCGCATCCTTTGGCTGGCTCAAAGGTACACCCACTGAGCATTTCGCCTTGGAGCCTAGGTCTGTCTCGTTCTCTGGTATTTTGCCGTCCTGCAATGTCGGCTTGTCCTGCAGCTCCTCAACCTGTTGTAGCCGCTGGCCTTCAATGGACTGTTGGAGAGCTTCTGACTGAGATTGTCCGGGGAAGGACCCTTGTAACTGGAGGCTTCCACTGCGTTTCTGGAGTGGCACACTGGAACCAGAAGCTGCGTTGGCAGAGGAATCCTGTGGAATGGCCGACTGCGATGCCGTTCCACTCGTTCCCTGGGGCTCCGCCGCAGTCGATACCTTTTTCAAGACCTGGGCTTCGCTGCTGAGAACCTGCTGGTCATGAGCGCCATTTAGTGGTTTGTTCCGGCGGACATTGCCTCCAGCCACCTTGCACGGTAAACATGTTGAGTTGTTGGCCCCCATTTCAACCGAGAATCCCAACCAAAGCTAGCGGGACAGATTACCGGTCTCCAGTTTTGGGCAGGTGACGGAGTGGCTTTGTTGGCGGGACTAAGTGGAGCTACACCACCTATCTCGCAAATTGGCGGAGCCGACGCGGCACGGACGACACGGAGGCAGACGCAGTATTAAGAGTGTTGAGCTGCCCCTTTGTCCCCACCAGAATTAGATCATTCTCACTTGGTGCACGCAAAACCATTATCTATCCTGTCAGTTCCGGTCCATGCCACTTGTACACGCTTGCCTGGCGTCGGGGTCAGCTGGCGAGTGGGGTGACGCCTGCCATCAAGACGTCTCCAACAGCTCGACCAATCGTGCAGGCACGGTCTTCGTCAATTCAGGAGCTATGCGAAATTAAGTACCAAAAGAAGTAAGGTGATTTGGGGGGGAAATTAAGTTTTCGAAGGGCTCTATTAATGCTCGCCTTTCGGACGGTGGCAGTGCGTGACCAGTGGCTGTAGTGGGGAAACGGGAAGCATCGCGCGCAAAAGACCGTCAATAAAATCCAAACGTATTAAATTCCACTTATTTGTATAATAATTAATCCGTAGTCTTAAAATTTAGGAACCAAAGGAGGCGTCAGTGCGCCATACGCCCACCGCCTTTTTATCCCGCAGCACCGACAGGCGGTTTAGCTTCTACAGTCGCCAGCACCTGCGGGCAACGACATAAGACATAAGTATCTGCACGCTGAACGAAATTAGTGTGTTTACACATTCGAGTGTGCCATTTGCCTGGGTCCATTGCTTTTTACAGCGCAGGGTGTGTCCGCGTGCGTTAGAATGCTAAGCTGTGCAGCCTATCCAGGACCCCAATACATCAGTATCCAGCAGCTGAATGCTACAATGTATTCAGCAGCGCAGCTCTGTGGTGTTTCTGTTAAGCGTAATTACGTGGTGAGTTTGCAGGCCATAGGGTGCGATGCGGACACACAAGAACGCACAGAGGTTTTTTGATCATAGCCCAGGTGGGTTGAAGTGTTTCACAAGGCAATATCTATGGTAAAAAAGGCCATTGCAGTTACTGCTGCTACTGCTTGTGGCGTCAGTGTTTGTGCGGCAGACATGACTCTCTTCCTTTCGATTCCGCAACAAGTGTAACTGCTGCACGAGCAACGAGGCCGCTGCTGTCCTCGAAGCGATCTTCGTGAAACAGGATTCATCAAGCGGCACACTTAGAAATGAACATGCTAGCCACTAACCCGTTCCGTGGGCTTCCAATATCGTCGCTTAATGGGCCTGGACAACTGCCCCAAAGATGAATATATAACAATACCTGTAGACCGGGAGTGATAAGAACGTGGAAGATGCAACAGCTTAAATATATCTAATTGCCGAAATTCTGCAGGCAAGTGGGATAATAAGGGATAACAAACCGTCATGAGGACCGTCTGGCGTGTGTGTGGCAGTAACTCAAAAGCGATCACCAAGCGTTTCCAGCATCTAGTCCGCCATATTACAATTGTATATATATATATATATATATATATATATATATATATATATATATATATATATATATATATATATATAATTTAGCTGTAAAAGGGCTGCAGTGGGGCTTCCAGTGATCTCCCAAACCCTCGAACATTTGCTGCAGATGAATGTTGGAGGGGTTAGGCTAGTGTATCTTGAGAAACAAATAGTGCTCACCGACTCCCATACCGCCTGTTAAAGAATGCGAACTGTGCGAGAGTGGTCCGACCCCCCGAAGATCAGTTACTGGGTCACCAGATGCTTTGCAACGTTCAAATTTCTAGAAGACTGTGGAGCATATCTCTCCTCATCAAGGCAAAGCTCCTTCCCGTACAGCGTACAGCCGGTTATTTATGTTAGAAGTAACGACATAAGAGCTATGGTTTAGTGTTGCGCTTGCCTTGAGCAAATGTCTCCCGGGAACGACGCTGCTTCCGATGCCCTTCATCTGTCTACATCCTGATCTAAGGCAACTTTATTCCTGGAGAGGAGGTGTTGAGTTGCCCTTCACCGGGCCGCCGTAGCGCAGAGAGTGTACTCGGGGAGGATTAATGGCGTATACTGTAACCCGCAGAATTGATGAAGCACTGTACTGCCCCCAGATTCACAGCTGTAGTAAATCGAATGCTCACAATCCAGAATTTGTGTATATCGCTTAAGTTAAACACACACCTTGCAAAGTCCGGGATGGAATGCCGATATGGTTGTGTATTTGCCGACCCCTTCTATGTTACATATCACCTCCTATTCCTTGTTTTCAACGGGAAATACTGCAAGAATAACACTTCTATATTGGAAACGAACTAACTGTCCCCTTCCCTAGACATAGTTGAAATGAACAACAACGGTTTCTCATTGAATTTCAGGTTTTAGTGCACGGCGAATTGCCTGAACCGCATTCTGCTATCTGAACAGTTCGAAGGGTTTAGCTGCGCCGCTTCTTGGTTGGCATCCTTGGCTATCTGGACTGAGCTTCGAACAATCGGTCCTCTCCTTTTTCCTGGTACCGAACTGGAAAATCCCTGTTTGTGCTGGATATGCTCAAGTACAAGCTTGCCTCCCCGCATATGCGCAAATTCGAACGAGAGTGGAAACCTCCACGTTAAAAGCGTGTTATCCAAATATCTATAGGGAGAACAGAACTCTGGAGCCGTCGTTTCAGTCGCTCCTCTCGTGAGAACACTTGCTCGCCTTCATGGGAATAGGGGATGTGCTGTCCCCGGATGCGAGAATACTAAGCAGTCAACGAGGAATGGAAGTTGCAAATTACTTCGCTGCTGAAGCCTTGGAGTATTCGATGTACCTAAATCATGCAGAAATGGGCTTGATGAATTGGAGGGGTGTACAGGAGGAGACAAAACGCCCCTTTGAAGGGGACTCCCGGGTATGTGGGACAAATGGATGGTCTGAAGAGCGCGCAATTATCATAGATAACCTGGACAGTGGGCTGCTCGCATTATATTTCGGAGTTCTCGCGGTGCATTCCGAGGGATAACATAATCCCTGCTAGCGCACTGCTAAAACTGTTCCTCGTCAACGTGCCTCGGGTTGTTCACTTATCGCTATCGACCAGGGGTTGTACGCACTTTGGTGCGTGACAAGAAGCTGCAGATGGTTGACGCAGATTGTGAGAAGACGTGAGGAGTTTCTGCTCTCTCGCCGGCAGTTTGATACACTTCTTAAGAACGAGGGTTGGTAATTATCTGAGAGCGGTTGCGTTACATAAATTGGGTTTAAAAGAGGCAGACTTAGAGAATGGCCATCAAGGGGACATGAACTACGGGAATCAGAGACAGGATATACCCAGACGAAGAAACATCAACGCATTTCACTGACCGTCGGCCCTGGTTCCCTGGGAAAGCGGGGAGAGCACCGGAGTGGCAGCCCGGAGTGTAGATGTCTGTACGCGATGTGGGGGGTTGGCAGATTATGCTCGTAATTGCGGTAGAGCCGTATGTGCCATAATGAAGAGGACCCTCCTTGAGAGGCAGATTAACTCTCACGCTAAACCCGTGTCAAAGGGGAGCTGAAACGGCACGGCCTACGCGTTAAAGGAGACACTGACGTGCTAGATGAACTCGCGGTGGGTTTGGCTTGACGAGTGCAGTGCCTACACGAGCCAGCACCATCCCAGTTTCCGCGAGCTGGCAACGTACCCTTTTGCCGTGCCATACCCACCGATCATCCCCACGGGTCAAAAGGGAAGTGTATGGTCCCACTCTCAGAAACGGCAGCTTACAGCCATATTCCCACAGGTAGATGTAATCAGAGCAACACCACAAGTGCCACTTTCCCCATAGAGAGTGAGACTTTTGATCTTTGGTGGACTTATCCAGTGTAGGCATCATCAGCAGAGGCCCTACCTACGCTGACCGCGACACCATAGATTGCTGCATATGAAAAGAGGAGAGATTAACACACAGTCTTGAGGTCAGACTCGACGATAGACCACCAGGTGAACAGCAGGGAGCGGACAAAACACTGGACCCAGAGCCTTTCTTCCCATAGTGGTGGTTAGACTTATTGAAACGCAGCAACCGCCCCCGCGAAGCTAGGTCCCTTGCTTCGCATTGGTGAGGCAGCTATTCCATCTTTTGAGCCACCAAGGTGCCGGCGTAGACTGATCATCAGGCTTTTGACCACCAACAACGCCTTACCCCATTTACGCCGCTGTGAGGAAGGACGGCACGTTGGTTGGACTCCCAAAAAAAGATACGTTGTCTCGTCACCAAGTTCGCCATATCCCACCCGCTCAGCATAAACGTAAAAATCTTGTTCTCACTTCAACATCAAGGGGGCGACCTTTGCTGCGTATACCCTGCAGAATGACAGTCAAACCGAGCGTGTAAACCGCATTTTAGAACGGACCTATGTCCAGTCTGATGACCCGAGAGTGGGAGCGCCTGCATCCGGCATTCGAGCTGGCGTACAGCGCGACAAGCCGTTCAACAAAAGAGCTGAGCTATTTCGAAGTGATTATAGGTGAAAATCCGCCAAAAGCAGCTGACCTAGACATTGTGGGTTAATTGCCCCGCCCATGGCTACGTTGTATAGAGCTCAAGCGCCTATTTCGAAGGCCGAGTCGTATCAGAGGGCTTTTCCGGACGTCCATAACTGGGTGGACGAATACAAAGTCGGTGACAAGGTCTGTGTGAGAACTTCCCTTTCAGAAACGCCAGTCTAAGGGGAGTTCGGGGCCTTAGGGATCATGTGGCCCTCGGAACCTGATCCCACT